GGATGATGATGGTGCCCGGCACTCGTGAGTCCCTCGACGAGGACTCCATCACCACCTACATTCTCCAGGATGAGGCGATGCAGGAGGCAGAACAGCCCACGGAGTTCCTTCCGCAGGCGAGTTACGCTGCACCGACGAAGCCAAATTATCAGCAGGAGCAGCGCGGGAAACAAGGCGGAGGTGGTAGCGGAAGTGGGCGGTCGACAAAGGACGTCGACGAGAAGAGGTCGACGCGGGACAAGGGTCGACGAGGTGGTGGTCGACGGCGGGAGTGCTGGGTCTGCGGCGACCCCGACCATCTCTCCTTCGAATGCCCCGACCGCGATGACAGCGACGAGGACGACAACAAGGAAGGCCACGGTCGATCGGCCAGTCGTCGCCCCCGTCGAGTTGAAAAGCCGCGCAAGGAGAAGCAAGCGTCGAAGAAAACGTTCTCGACGAAGGACGTCGACAGCTCCAGCGGCAAGAGCCGAGGCGACGGGGAGGCGTCGTGCTCGATGGTCGGCGTGGTGGAGCCGACGGTCTCGCTAGCACCGGAGGCTGGCGAGGACTTCCAGGCGGTGGCAGCAGCTGTGCAGGCCAACCCGATGGCGGTGCTGCTCGACAGCGGGTGCTCCCACCACCTGATGGGGACGAAATCGGTCTTCGTCAATATGAGGCCGAGCGACGGAGTGAAGCACGTGCGTGGGTTCAACGGGGCATTGCAATCTGTCGAGGGTCGTGGAACTGTTGCTCTGCAAGGGGAGGCCGGGAAGCGGGTGCTCATCCCCGACGTGCTCTACGTTCCGGGTGTTCAGGCGAACCTGTTGTCTGCTGGCCAGCTGAAGGAGAGCGGCGTGCTACTGCAGGGCGATGGCGATGAGATGCTGCTCGTCGCCGCGACTGGAGAGGTGCTCGGTCGAGCACGCTACACCGGACGAGTCCTCTGCACCGACCTTCGCCCCTGCTCGACGCAGTCGCAGTCGACCGAGGTGGTGGCTCTGCGGACGATCGTCTCGGCGACGAAGACGACCCCCGATAGAATGCATGCGCGGCTTGCCCACGTCAGCGTCGACACGATCAAGAGCTCGGCGAAGCATGATGTTGCTGCTGGGCTCGACATCACGCTGTCAACCGGAGCAGACCCGCCATGTGTCTCGTGCGTCGGAGGAAAGCTGGCGCGCCACATCTTCCCTGCCACGGGCTCGGATGCAGCGGAGGCGCTGGCTGTCGTGCACATTGACTTGTGCGGGCCATTTCGAGTGGCTGCCAAGGATGGCAGCCTGTACTTCCTGCTGTTAAAGGATCGCCATACTCGATTTGTATGGTCAATGCCGGTCGCCAAGAAGAGCGATGTGCTGCGGGAGTTCCAGCGGTGGCTCGTGCTGGTGGAACGGCAGACGAAGAAGTCGGTGCTGTCGCTTCGCTCCGATTGAGGAGGGGAGTTCCTCGGGAAGGCGTTCACCGACTTCGTCGACGGGAAGGGCATCGTCCACGACCTGACGTGCCCCTACACTCCGCAGCAGAATGGCATGGCTGAGCGGGAGATGCGCACGGCCGTCGAGTCCGTGCGGACGATGTTGCTGCACATGGGCGTGCAGCACCATTGGTGGCACCTTGCTCTACGATAAGCTGTCTGGGTGCGCAACTGCTTGGAGCGGTTGACGACGCCGCCGGGGACGACTCCGTACCAGCTGCTGACCGGGCAGAAGCCCGACCTTACGCTGGCGCGGGTGTGGGGCTGCATGGTGCAGTTCATGATTCCCGAGCAGCAGCGTGGTGGGAAGCTGGCGCCGAAGGCTCGCTCGGGACTTCACCTGGGTGTGTCGCCAGCAAGCAAGGGCTGGGAAGTGCTCGACCTGACTGACAACAAGGTGGTCACGTCGGTCGAGGTGATCTTCTACGAGACGCTCTCGCTGGAGGTGTGGAAGGCGAAGTATGGGCCGGCGTCGCAGCGGACGCAGGCGCACCCGCCAACGGATACATCTACAGCGCCGGTTCGGTTGCTCGCCGAAGTCGACGGACCCGGTGATGAGGCTGTTGTGGAGGCTCTTTCTCCTTCCCCTGTCTTTGCTCCTCCGTTCCCCGTCGCAGATCGGCCTGGGTCGGCACCTGTGTCGCCCACCGTCGATGAGGGGAGCCTTGAGGCGTCGCCTGTGGCGCCGGCCCATGGCATCGCCGGCGGTCGACAAGGCGCCAAGCTCGTCGACTAGGATGGGAAGCCGTCGACGACAGGGGAGCACCAGACAGGGGAGCCGGTCGAACAGGAGGCAACGACAGGGGTACACTCGACAGGGGAGCAGCAGTCGGATCGGCCGACAGGAGAGTTGTCGAAGGCAGCAGCAGACGAACAGCCGGTCGAAGGGTCGAAGCAGCTGGTCGATGACGTTCTCGTCGACGAGAAAGGGGAGCAGTAGGCGGGTGAGGAGTCCACCGACAGCGACGTGATGGAAGTGCCGATCACGAAGCCTGAGCTGCGACGCTCAGGTCGAGCTCGACGGCCGCCGGAGCGGTTGAGCTTCCACGCCTGCCTACCGCCAGCTGCCTTCACCACGGTGTACGACGAGGTCGACGACGACTTGCTGTACGACGATGCCGAGGAGGATGAAGACCTGTCGGAGCTCGACCCCGACGTGCATGCTGACCCCGAACACCGCTGGGACATTGCCACGATGACGGTGAATGAGGCGCTGTCGAGCTGGAAGGGCGAGGCGGTGAAGGCCGCCATGGAAGAAGAAATCCGTAGCCTCATCGCTATGGGGACTTGGGAGCTGGTTGAACGCCCATGCGGGGTGAACATTATGAAGAACCGATGGGTGCTGACGACCAAGTACCACATCGACGACACCGTCGAGCGCGAGAAGGCGAGGCTGGTCGTAAAGGGCTTCACGCAGGTGTACGGCGCCGACTACGACGAGACGTACTCACCGGTGAGCAGCTACGTCACGCTGAGGATCTTCCTCAGCATCGTCGCCGTCCTCGACCTCAACCTGATGCAGCTCGACATGAAGAACGCTTTTCTGCAGAGCAAGCTCGACAGGGTGCTCTACATGTACCAGCCGGACTACTTCGACGACGGGACCGGCCGGGTGTGTAAGCTGCTGAAAAGCCTCTACGGGCTGAAGCAGTCGCCGCTGCTGTGGTACACGGCTCTTGATGGTGTGCTGCTGGGCGCTGGCTGGAAGAAGAGCCAGGTTGACGAGGCGCTCTACTTCAAGACTAGCGACGACGGTGTGACCTGTTGGGTCTTGGTCTACGTCGACGACCTGCTCGCCGCTAGCAGCAGCACCGCGATGCTGCAGGAGCTGAAGGAGCTGCTGGAGGCCGCCTTCGAATTGCGTGAGATCTCGCCGGTGGAGAAGTACCTTGGGCTGGAGATCGTGCGCGACAGGCCGGCCAGGAAGTTGTGGCTGCACCAGCAGGGCTACGCCGACAAGCTGCGCAGGCGCTTCGTCGACGAGGAGCAGGGCGGTCGAGTCCCGAAGACGCCAGTCTCGGTCGACGCCTACGCTCAGCTGACGTTCGACGACGAGGAGGCTCAGGAGCGCGAAGAGGAGGAGTACCGACAGAAGGTCGGCTCGCTGCAGTTCGCGGCGACGACGACGAGGCCGGACATTGCATTCGCCTGCAGCAAGCTAGGGAGCGGCCTCACGGTGAGGAGCGACCAACATTGGCGTGAGGTCGACTGTTGCCTCGCCTTCCTCGCCGACACCCGCGACACCGCCCTGGAGTTCGGCGGTGGACCAGAATCGTTGGAGCTGATCGGCTACGCCGATGCCGACGACGCGGGCGACAAGCAGAACCGGACGAGCACGGGAGGCTACATGTTCGTCTATGGAGGGGCCGCCATCTCCTGGTCGAGCTCGCGCATCAAGTGCGCGACATTATCATCGACCGAGTCGGAGTACGTGGCGGCCACAGATGCCGGCAAGGAGGGCCGTCGACTTCGCTTCCTCCTTGCGGAATTCAAGCTGCTCGATGCTGGGAAGCCGACCATCCTCCGCGTCGACAACAAGTCGGCAATCACTGTCGCTGAGGGCTTGGGGCTAACGGGCAACCTCAAGCACATGGAACGACGCTACGCGTGGCTGCAGCACATGGTGAGGCGCGGGAAATTTGTGCTGAACTACATCCCGACCACCGAGCAGCCGGCGGATTTCCTGACGAAGGCGCTGCATTTTCCGGCTTTCAACCGGTGCTCTGTCGCCATCGGACAAGTTCGTCTGGTCGACGTCGGCGACGGCGACGACGAGGTGCAGCAGTAGGTGCCGTGCCCTTCTGCACGGCTGGTGCAGTGACGGCGTGCTGTGTGTGGGGTGCACGCCGAGGACGAGTTCTCTCCGTGGAGTACTGCCGTGAGGGCTGGAGGCCCAAGCGTGAGCGCGGCAGGGGAGTGTTAACGGGAATGAAGTGTTGGCCCCGCCCTCGCTTGGGCAACGCCGACAACTTGGTCGGATGTACGGAAGTAGCAGCCGACTGCTCACAGTGGGATAGCTGCTCGACAGGTTACGTCGAGCTGCAGCGGACCACTGTGGTGTTGCTGTCGACCAGGATGCTCGACAGCTGCACCTGACTGGCCTGGGCGACGGGTGAGCCGTCCGGGAGGTCGACGAAGCAGTCCGTCGACCTACAGTTCGACGGGGAGGTCTATGGAGCATCCCGTCGAACTGCAGCTCGACCAGGAGGTCAACGGAGCGTCCCGTCGAATTGCAGCTCGACCGGGAGGACAACGGAGCATCCCGTCGAACTGCAGTTCGACCGGGAGGTCGACAGAGCAGTTCTGGTCGACGGAAGGGGTCCGTCGACCAAGGGGTAGCTTGACGGGAGGTGTGGTCGACCAGGAGCGCCCGGTGGTCGACCAGAGGGACCCAGTGGTCGACGGGAGGCACCTGGGAGTCGACCAGAGCACCAGGGGTCGACCAGGTCGACCGGGTAACCTGCTCGACGAGTTCTGCGGAGGCACGCGAACGTCGTCGAGATCGCGATGGCGCAGGCAACTTCGGGCTGGTATCCCGAAGTCGATGTGGCTCGTCAGGCGCAGACAAACAGCCGACGGATGCCCAACGAGGCAAGTCGGGCCAGTCGTCTGCGCACACCTGTGAGCGCGCGCACTGCTGTGTTCTACGGGGCACGCCGTCGACCTGCTTTGTTGGCAGGTCGCCCTTCTGCAGTGCTGGCGCGGCTCCTCTACGCAATGCTGGCAGGCGGTCGACCGAGCTGCGCTGGCGGTCGACCAGGCTGGCTGCAGGGTTGCTAGGTGCCTGATGTAGTCATTGTTGTCATTGCTTCTTGATTATTCTGGAATTCCAACTTTGCTAGTGAAAACTCTTGCCAAATTCTTCCGTGAATGTGCAAACACTAAGGAACTAAGCAAAGCTAAGATCACCTCTAGTAGTTCGTGCCAACCCCTGTAGTCTAGCTCACTACCGTTGTAGAGTTAATCTCCACAAAGGTGTGAAGTGCCTCAGTAGGTGCGGTACCAGCAGACACAGACGCACTAGCACCTAGGGCAGCAGCCTCACCAAGACCTGGAGCAGCAGACGCACTAGCACCTAGAGCTGCAGCCTCACCGGTCTCAATACCTGGGTCGGGCGGTACACTCAAATAACAGTCAGCCTCAACACTAATAGTCAATGCATACATAGTAGCAAGAATAGCATCATAATCAAGAGCAAAGATATCAATTCCCTTCTTAAGCAGATCAGCCCAGCGGGGCAGCTCAGAGGCGTCAGGGAACTGCTCGCGCCAGGCGTTGTCGAGGCAAAAGAAGCAGCGCTGTGCCGTGTGAAACCTCCCACAAGTCTGGCCAGTGCGGTCACTTGTGCGGATAACGTACGGGCAAGTACCCCCACCCCCAGACCCCCCACGCTGAGAGTACCACTCACGGAGCTGCTGGGGCGAGGGAGTCTCACCGGGACGCTGCTGTTGCTGCCTCTGGCCACCGCCAAACCCCCCCGCTGTACCGCTCCACCGCGCCTGCCACCCGCTCCACCGCTGCCACTACTGGCACAACCACTTTCACCACCTCCACCGCCGCCGCCTCCACCACCCCCTGTGCCGCCACCGACCCCCCCACCACCCGCGCCACTCCCACCTCCTCCACCGCCCCCGCCCCCTCCACCCCCTCCACCGCCGCCGCCCCCGCCTCCACCTCCACCACCCCTGCCCCCCTTGCCCCTGCCGCCCTTGCTCCTCCCACTAGGAGCAGACGCAGCCCCGACCCCCTCAGCTCCGAGGAAGTCGACAGCAGCAGCAGAGGCAATGGAGGGAAGGAGGGGGACGGGAGAGCACCCCTCGAAGAAGGGGGCGCGAGGGTCGCCACGAGAGGCACCTACAGCTACAATGCTCTTCTCAGCTGCTAGGAGTTCCTTCTTGAGGAGGTCGACAGTGAGGTCAGTGGGGGAGAGGGCTAGAAAGTGGTCCCTGACTGTGCGAAGGGAGTCGGGGAGGCGCGTGACAAGGTGGTACAGTGTGAGGTACATCGGGGGGGGGGGGGGGTTCTTAGCGAGGAAGTCGGGGGGGAGTGCGGCACGGTAGCGGAGGTCACTGGTACGGAGGTGGGTGATGAGGTCAGCTACAGTGGTAAAGGCGGACAGGTCGGGGAAGAGGTAGGGCAGTGAGAGACGGCATATAGTAGCAGTGGCAGGGGAGGAGTAGCGCGCGACTACTGCGTCGTACAGCTCCTTAGCGGTCTTATGCTGGCCGAAGTGCTCGCGCTCATCTACCGGCAGGTGACTGCGAACGGCTAGGCGGGCGTGAGCATCACGAGTCTGCCACTGGGAGCAAGCAGTACTGTCAGCAGTAGCGGGAGGTGCGGGAGCAGCGCCTGACGTGTGGTCGTACAGTGAGACATCGTCCTTGGCAGTGATCTGGAGGAACAGGTGGAGGTAATCAAGCCAGACATCGAACTTAATCGGGCGGCCCTCGGCGTCAAAGGTGAGAACAGTGGGACTGGCCATAGTGGCAGGAGCAGAAGTAGCAGTAGCAGTAGCAGTAGAAACAGTACTAGAAGTAGGAGTAGCAGATGCAACAGTAGGTGCTGCAAGTGGGGCGGCGCGGCTCAGTCAGGGCGGCGCGGTTCGGGCGGCGCGGCTCGGTCAAGGCGGCGCGACTCGGGCAGGGAGGGCGGCGCGACGGCGGGCCTATCGACGGTGGCAGCGGCGCCTAGGGTGCAGCTGCGCGTGGGCCGCTGCTGCGTTCGTGCGGGCGGCGGTGATCGTGCGGGCGGCGGGCTAGCACGGGCGGCGGCCTAAGGAGACGCGGCGGCGGCACGGGGTGGTCGACGAGCGGCTGACGGGCCGCGCTAAGGGCCGCGCGAGGCCAGAGAGGGCGGCGCGAGCAGCTAGCGCGCCGCGCCCCTAAGAAACAGGCCGCGCGCGGGCAACTAGCGGGCGACGCGACCTTAAAAAAAAAGGGCCGCGCGCGCGGGCTTCTAGCGGCTGCACACAGGCAGCTGAGGAGAAAACGAGGGCGCACGAGGGCGCACTAGGAGCGAGGCGCATGAGGGCGCTAGGAAGGACGGCATCACCCCGCCCCATTCTCCCGCTTTCCATCACCCCGCCCCATTCTCCCGCTTTCCATCACCCCGCCCCATTCTCCCTCCTTCCATCACCCCGCCCCATTCTCCCTCCTTCCATCACCCCGCCCCATTCTCCCGCTTTCCATCACCCCGCCCCATTCTCCCGCTTCCCATCACCCCGCCCCATTTTCCCGCTTTCAATCACCCCGCCCCATTCTCCCGCTTTCAATCACCCCGCCCCATTCTCCTACTTTCCATCACCCCGCCCCATTCTCCCGCTTTCCCTCACCCCGCCTCATTCTCCCGCTTTCCATCACCCCGCCCCATTCTCCCGCTTTCTACACCCCGCCCTATTCTCCCGCTTTCCATCCCCGCCCCATTCTCCCGCTTTCCATCACCCTGCCCCATTCTCCCGCTTTCCATCACCCCGCCCCATTCTCCCGCTTTCCATCACCCCGCCCCATTCTCCCTCCTTCCATCACCCCGCCCCATTCTCCCACTTTCCATCACCCCGCCCCATTCTCCCTCCTTTCATCACCCCGACCCATTCTCCCGCTTGCCATCACCCCGCCCCATTCTCCCGCTTTCGATCACCCCACCCCATTCTCCCTCCTTCCATCACCCCACCCCATTCTCCCTCCTTCCATCACCCCTCCCCATTCTCCCTCCTTCTATCACCCCACCCCATTCTCCTGCTTTCCATCACCCCATCCCATTCTCCCGCTTTCCATCACCCCGCCACATTCTCCCGCTTTCCATCACCCCGCCTCATTCTCCCGGTTTCCATCATTCTCAAGCTCGGAACGAGCGCTTCCTACCCCAAACCGCGGAAGGATCTACACATGTGCAGGAAGTGCAGCATGCGCTCTTCATTCGCGAGGGCAGATGACCTATGTTGCTTGCAACCCTCCCACGCCCTTGCTGGCTTGGTAATAGGTCTACACAAGTGCAGCCACGTGACCCAGTGGAACAAAAACACTCGGAACGAGCTCTTCAACCCCTAAAACGCAGAAGGATCTGCACATGTGCAGGAAGTGGAGCGTACGCTCTTTATTCGCCAGCGTCGATCACTGATGATGCTTGCAACCCTCCCACGGCCTTGCTGGCTTGGTAATAGGACCAGACAAGCGCAGCCACGTGACCCGGCGGAAGAAAAATGCTCCGAACGAGCGCTTCCACCACCAAAACGCGGAAGGTCCCGCAGCTCTTCATTCGCGAGCGCCGATGACCGACGATGCTTGCAACCCTCCCACTCCCTTGTTGTTTTGGTAATAGGAGCAGACAAGCGCAGCCACTTTACCCTGTGGAAGAAGAACGCTCGGAACGAGCGCTTCGACCCCGAAAATGCGGAAGGACCCGCACATGTGCAGGAAGTGCAGCTTGCGCTCTTCATTCGCGAGTGCTGATGACCGATGATGCTTGCAACCCTCACACGCCCTTGCTGGCTTGGTAATAGGACCAGATAAGCGCAGCCACGTGACTTGGCGGAAGAAAAAACGCTCGGAACGAGCGCTTCCACCCCAAACCGTGGAAGGATCCGCACATGTGGAGGAAGTGCAGCGAGAACTCTTCATTCGCGAGCGCCGATGGCTGATGATTCTTGCAACCCGCCCACGCCCTTTCTGGCTTGGTAATAGGACTAACCCAGCGTAGCCACGTGACTTGGCGGAAGAAAAACACTCCAAACGAGCGTTTTCACCCCCAAAACGCGTAAGGATCTGCACACGTGCAGGAAGTGCAGCGAGAACTCTTCATTCGCGAGCGCTGATGACCGGTGATGCTTGCAACCCTCCCATGCCCTTGTTGGCTTGGTAATAGGACCAGACAAGTGCAGCCACGTGTCCCAGCGGAAGAAAAACGCTCGGAACGAGCGCTTCCACCCCCAAAACGAGGAAGGACCCGCACATGTGCAAGAAGAGCAGCTAGCGCTTTTCATTCGCGAGCGCCGATGACCGATGATGCTTGTAACCCTCCCACGCTCTTGCTGGCTTGGTAATGCAACCCTAAACCAGACAAGCGCAGCCACGTGACCCGGCGGAAGAAAAACGCTCGGAACGAGCGCTTCAAAAAACGCGGAAGGATCCGCACATGTGAGGGAAGTGTAGTGGGTGCTCTTCATTCGCGAGCGCCGATGATCTATGATGCTTGCGACCCTCACACACCCTTGCAAGCTTGGTAATAGGACCAGAGAAGTGCAGCCACGTAACCCGACTGAAGAAAACACTCGGAACGAGCGCTTCCATCCCCAAAACGCGGAAGGATCCACACATGTGCAGGAAGTGCAGCGGGCGCTCTTCATTCGCGAGCGCCGATGACCGATGATGCTTGCAACCCTCCCACGCCCTTGCTGGCTTGGTAATAGGACCAGAAAATTGCAGCCATGTGACCCGGCGGAAGAAAACTTCCGGAACGAGCGCTTCCACCCCCAAAACGCATAAGGAGCTGCACATGTGCAAGAAGTGCAGCAAGCACTCTTCATTCGCGAGCGCTGATGACCGGTGATGCTTGCAACCCTCCCACGCCCTTGCTGGCTTGGTAATAGGACCAGACAAGCGCAGCCACGTGACCTGGCGGAAGAAAATGCTCGGAACGAGCGCTTCCACCCCCAAAACGCGGAAGGGTCCGCACATGTGTATGAAGTGTAGTGGGCGCTCTTCATTCGCGAGCGCCGATGACCGATGATGCTTGCGACCCTCACACGCCCTTGCTGGCTTGGTAATAGGACCAGACAAGTGCACCCACGTGACCCGGCGGAAGAAAAACGCTCGGAACGAGCGCTTCCACCCCCAAAACGCGGAAGGATCCGCACATGGGCAGGTAGTGCGGCGGGCGCTCTTCATTCGCGAGCGCCGATCACTGATGATGCTTGCAACCCTCCCATGCCCTTACTGGCTAGGTATTAGGAGCAGACAAGCACAGCCACATGACCCGGTGGAAGAAAAATGCTCTGAACGAGCGCTTCCATTCCTAAAACGCGGAAGGATCCGCACATGTGCAGTAAGCGCAGTGAGCGCTCTATATTCGCGAGTGCCAATCAACGATGATGCTTGCAACCTTCCCGCGCCCTTGCTGGCTTGGTAATAGGACTAGACAAGCGCAGCCACGTGACCCAGTGGAAGAAAATCGCTCGGAACAAGCGCTTCCACCCCCAAAACGCGGAAGGATCCGCACATTGTCAGAATATTATCTTATGTTCTAGCCTGTAGTGGGGTGCTCTATAGCGAGTACAACCCTTCTAGGGTTTGCTATTTGTATCCTCATTCTTGCTAGTTCAATCCCCTCTTTCTTCTTCTAACTTTTGTCATGGTATCAGAGCAGGTCGATCCCCTTGGATCGATCCTGTGGGTGGGTTACCACATCGCTTCCGCTGCTACTTTTTCCTCCCGCCGTGCGCCCCGAGGCGCGCGGCGGTTTTCTGCCCGCCGTGCGCCCCGAGGCGCGCGGCGTTTCTTTGCCCGCTGTGCGCCCCGAGGCGCGCGGCGGGCTTCTGCCCTACGTCGCGGCCCCGCCCTGCGTCGCGGCCCAGCCCCTCGAAGCGGCCCCGACCGTCGCGGCCCCGCCCCTCGACGCGGCCCCGCCCTACGTCGCGGCCCCGCCCTGCGTCGCGGCCCCGCCCCTCGAAGCGGCCCCGCCCTACGTCGCGGCCCCGCCCCGACCGTCGCGGTCCCGCCCCTTGTCGCGGCCCCGCCCTCCAACCAGGCCCGTGGTGGGCCCCTTTCACCACACCGCCCCCCCCCCCCCCCCCCCCCCCTTCCCCCTGCCATTTCCCGTCGTCCGTCAAGGCGACCTGAGGGGCGAGCTGTGGGGTGGCGGGTATGGGGGTGGCCGGTGTGCCTTCCTCCC